TCGTGGCTCTCTTGAGGGTCTTTTTTCTGATATATACTGTATGAGCAAATGAGTTTTCGTATCACCGCGCCCACACCAACAACCGGCCCAACAAGGCCAAGGGGTAAGGGGTCCACCCACCCATCACGTCATTGCCTCCCATTCCCGCGACTCCACGTACGTCGCGCAGGGAATAGAGGAGGCAATTAATCAACTAATCCGGCTGGTGACGGGCATCTTGGGGGATGTCCTTGTCTCCATTGCGACGGGTAACGACACCTTAACGGCGCTGACCAACGCCATTAAATCCCTGACCGCGGTACGCAATGGCGCCACAAATTAGGGCCATGTACTGGAACCCTGGAGGCATACAGCAACGGCTCCCGGAGCTAAGGATGCTGGTTCAGCAGCACAACATCCAAGTTGTGTTGCTCGGGGAAACCAAGCTCCGTCCGGGTCAGCCGTTCCGCCTATCGAACTTCGTCGTGTACCGTAGGGATGAGATCTCCCCAGACCACGGCTATGCCTATAGAGGTACGTCCGTGTTGGTAAGACGGGACCTAGTACACGACGAAGAGGAGCTGCGCAGCTTTACAAGCACGCGCTCCATAGGAGTATGCCTCCATCCGGGCGGGAAAGAGATACGTATGTTCGCTGCGTAGTTATAGCGGGGGATCTCAATGCCAAACATCCATCGTGGGGATCGAGAATTGAGAACCCCGCAGGCAGGAGTCTATACGAACATGCCGAGGAGGTGGGTTATGAAGTGCTGGGCCCTGATGAGCCCACACACATACCCACCATCGAAGATCACGTTCCGGATGTCCTGGACATCGTGCTCTGCCACAAAGTGCCATGCCCTGTCCAGGTAGAGGTGCTGTACGATGCGGACACGCAGCACCTCCCTGTGCTCATCGTGCTGAGTCTGGCTGCGGACTCACTGGCTCCCAGGGGCCCTAAATATAGGACCGATTGGGGAGCCTATTCGTGGGCAATGTCCACATTTAGCTTCGGTGCACCCATATCAACCGCGGAAGACGTGGAGCAGGCCGCGCGCACAATCACCTGTAAAATACAGGAAGAATTGCGCGCGGCGACCAAAGCGGTGCCGCAGGTGCACCGAAAAGACACGCTCCCGCGTAGGCTCCTCGATCGGTTGCACGAGAAGAGGGAGCTTAGGAAGCTGTGGGCCCGCACCCGCTGCCCACGAGTAAAGACAAAACTCAATCGGCTCAAGGACGAGCTGTCGGCAGCCATCAAGGCGTACAGGGGTGAGGGGTGGAAGCGCCGCATTGAGCAGGCCTCCGAGTCGCAAACCTCCCTTCACCACCTTAACCGACAGCTCAGCCGCACATCACAGCCCATCTGTCCACTCGTGGGTAGCGATGGGCGTAAGCACGCTGCAGCCCAAGACAGGGCTGACATATTGGCAGAGCACCTAGAAGGGCAATTTGTGGCCAACACATCGGCCCCAGGCGCCATTGCGTTCCACCAAGAAGTGGAGTGGCACATACAGGTATTCCTGTCGGAGCCGGTGCCACGGCTGGATGGTGGACTTTTCATCACTCCGGCCGAAGTGCGTAGAGCCGCGAGTCATCTCGCGCTCCGCAAGGCACCCGGCACTGACGGAATCACGACGCTGGCGATAAGGCAACTACCGAAAAGGGGGTTAGTGGCGCTGTGCCGCCTGTACAATGGTGTACTGCGCACGGCGCACTTCCCCTCTGAGTGGAAAACCGGTAAGATCATCGTCCTGCCGAAACCGGGCAAGGACCGACGACTTCCGGGGAGCTACCGACCGATTACGCTACTGCCGCACGTAGCCAAACTTTTTGAACGGTTGCTGCTGCGGAGAATAGTTCCCTGCATCGAGCTACGCAGGGAACAGTTCGGTTTCCGCAGCGGCCATTCCACCACGGCGCAGCTGGCCCGAGTGCTGCACTATCTTGCGGCCCAGTACAACCGGGGCCGCATCTGTCTGGGGGTCCTTCTCGACATGGAGAAGGCCTTCGACAGAGTGTGGCACGAAGGCCTGCTACATAAGCTGCTGGAAAATACCACCACCCACCGTGCGCTCGTGCGGTTAGTAGCGTCGTTTCTCCGGGACCCGGAAGTTCGTCGTACACGTCGAGGGAGCCGACTCGGCGGTACGATGTATCAAAGCCGGTGTACCACAAGGTAGTTGTCTGTCGCCACACCTGTATGCGGTGTACACGGACGACATTCCCACCTTCGAGCAAAACGCCTCCGACTGGGATGAAGACGTACTGTTGGCCCTGTACGCGGACGACAATAGAAATACATCATCTGTGAAATCTTCAACTGTCATCACGGTTGGCGAGATATACAGCCTGATGAAAGACGGACAGACAGATAGACGGCCCTATTAATAGGGTCCCGTTTAACCCTTTAGGTACGGAACCCTAAAAATGTAAAATTAGATAACTGAAGAAAAAATTATGTAGCTATCAAATTGAACATTGTATTGTCGGACCCAATTCACCACTGCGTGTTCAACTTTATGGTCATCTTAATTGTTTTCACTATCTAAACTCGAAAAAATTTTTTTTTTTTATTGCAAAACTTTTTCAATGACCTTAATACATGTTAATTACACTAAAGGTAAAGTAAAGTAACAGCCTGTATAGTTCCCTCTGCTGGGCAAAGGCTTCCTTAGTACAGAGCGTATTAGGGCGTAGTCAACCAGGCGACCCCATTGCGGAACGACATACATTTTTTTATTTTTTTAAATATGCAGGTTTCCTCACGACGTTTTCCTTCACCGCGAAGAACCTGATAAGTCAGCACTTAAAATTGAAATTTCATTGGTATAAGCACCGAGAAATGAACTCTACATAACTCTCTTAGTTTACTCTACTTTACTTTACTTTACTCTACTTAACTCTACGTTATTCGAGTATAACGTAATAAAAGCGAGCGCCCGGACAATGAGCTATCAGCTCCGTAAACAATAAATTAATTGAAATATATAAAACAAAATGATTTTACACACTTTCAAATGGATTTCGGAAATCGGTATAATTATATCATTGGCTGTATTTAATCGGTAGCTATTATTATTGTTATTACCTTATCAGTACAAATTGTGTTTATTTATGTACTTTTTCTTAGAATTCTTTTCAAAAATGAAGCTAACCAGTAGATGTTTAATAATAATTAATATTATGAACGATAATTTGAAAAAAATTAAACATATGCCAGAATCCGAAATGTAGGTTACACCTACTCTTATGTCAATCTTGATTGAAATTAATTTTAAAGAAAATAGTGCCATGATCAAGCAAGTAACGAGTTATAGTAAACAGACTGTACGCATAATATATATACGAGTACATATGTAGGTGAGGTAATTTTAATTTAAAAAAAATACTAATATGCTATCAATTATTTATAGAACTTTTAACTGTCTGCCCTAACTTTAAATAAGAAAATATTTAAATGAATAAGAGCAGAGTATTAAAATTGCATCGACATTAATCGTAAAGTTCAGTACAGTTTTTACGCCGGCTTAATGTGCGTTTAGTGGTTAAGCAAAACATCCTGCTAGTCAAAAAAAAAATAAAAATATGCGTATTGAATTAACATTTTCTGGATCGCCAATTAACAGTATAGCCGCGTAGGGAAATGTTTCCAAGTACAGTGTAAATTCATAAACACCGTTATTACAATGCTACGACGCTAGTTACCATTTGTCACTTTAATTCACATAAAAATAAAAGTAACAAACAATAAATATCTCAGTGCTGGACAAAGGCCTCCACTGTACAGAGTATAAGGGCATAGTCCACCACGCGACCCCACTGTGCATTGGCGGACTTATATATATATATATACATATTTTTTGTTGTTATTTCAAAAACATGCAGAATTCCTCATGATTTCACCGCTGAGCACATGATAAGTCAACATTTAAAATTAACAATTTCATTGGTGCCGGCACCGGGGATCAAACTCAGGTTGCTTGAGTATATTAAATTAAAGATAAACACTCGTACACTGAACTAGCACGGCTCTGGGTCTTTAATTCATAAAGACAAACAAAATGACATGATTATCACAAAGTAATTTACCAAAAATAAAGTTATCTAAAATAACAATAGTAACATTCTTATATGTATGTAATAAGCTTGAGCAGCTTATCAATAAAATCTGTATACGTGAAATAATTTTGATGATATGGATAATTAATACCCGCAGGGGGAAATGTGATATTGTAATAATAGATAATATATCGTTATCTTTAAACGAAAATGTATTATATCATGTAAAAACACATCAATACTTATTTTTTTATTTCCTGATATAGTAAACGTATTTCTTACATAACCTAATAACAAAAGCAGAAATAAAAGCAATTTTTTAAGTCACCAAATAAAATTCTGGATTTAAAAAACAGTTTTGTATGGAAGAAACATTTCTAACAATAGTTTACAGTACACTTTGAACATTTAAATGTTTTACGTTCAATACTATAAGTACATTTTACTGTTGTCAAATAAGGCTTAATGCAGGAAATATTTTTCATTATACGTTATATATATTAATAAAATTTGTATCCATATAAATTATGCCGTCAAATGTACAGAAGATTTCTTCAGGTCAGTCAGGCATAAGTTTTAATCTATTTTAAAATAGATATAGAAATATGATAAGCATTTAATTTAAACTAAAAAAAGTAAGAAAGAAGCAAAGTACGAATCATTTTTTTGAAAACATATTTTGCGTCAGAAATCCGCTATTTTAATTTTTCAAAGATTTAATATACCCTGCAGTAGTATGTGTATAGTGACATTCGTGCAATTAGCATGAATCCAATGACAATTAATCATAATTATATATAACTGCTAAACCAGCGGTTAATGTGATATATGGGAACATAGGGACATACTTACATACATACAAGTCCAACATATAAATAATCATCCTGTTTTGGCTTCGCCGCAGTCGAATAAAAAAATTAATTGGAACTCTGAGTTTTAAGAAATGCTTTAGAAACTCACCGATAGTGTCGATCCCAATCCCGAGCTGAGTACGTGAGAACTGACACAAGCTGTTACAGTCTGCGTGCTGGTTTGCGAGCGCACTGAACACTGTCGACGAGGTGCGCTGCCGGTATGAGCGGCGAGCGCGTTCGACGGAAGCCCCGACCGGTGGGGTGCACGGTGATTGCCATTGATAATGTCGCCGTGGGAGCCAGAAACAAACGAACGCCCAAGCACTCACAACAAATCGTGTCGACGATGAGAAAAACAATCGCGCCAAGCCGCGACGGCTGCTTCATCGGCTAGAAAGCACATTCAGACGCATCTCTCTGATAACTATCTCGCATTCTTAATTACTCTCATGGCCATTACGTACATTTTCCCCGAGTGGCTTGTAAATCTTGAACTCTCATGATAACCGTAACCGAACGACGAGCGTCAAACACAGACAAATAAGTCCTTATGTCGTAAATCGGGAGCCTTCGTCAAGTCAAGAAGATAGTCAGTAAATGTTAGGTGCATCCGATTGAATAATGTAAATGGAATTAACTTCATGAAGCTTCGAAGAACTTCAGATTTAAGTGAAAGTTGTGTCGAAATGATGCCGGTTGAATCAGTTTTTCACACATATTCTAAACAAAAGTGTGTGAGTACTTATGTACACAGGTTAGAAGTTATACTTCTTTTACGTAAGAATATAAAAATCTTTTCAAAAATTCTATCTTTCGCCTTATTCTACGTTTGTAGAAAAAATGACACAAGCAATAGAAAAAAGATATATAATACATTGAAAGTTTTATCATAACACATTATCAAGTTAGTAGTATTTTTAATTAGTATCTATTTATTGTAGATAATGGAAAAAACATATTATATGTTTTAAAGGAACTTTATGATAAGCAGTTACTTTACATAAGTTTAATTTAAACCATGATAAACGGAAGCTGGGAGTGGAATTCCAGAAATAATGCTAGTTAAGCGTTAAGTAAAATTCCTGAGTGTAATAGCAAGAGGTTCGAAGTAGCGATATGGCCATCCTCTTGCTTCAGCTCCATTAGTTAGGTATAAACGGTGGACCAAGCAAGGTTTTTTAAACTTTGTTACGGCCACAGAGTCGATTTTATTATTCGGAATCTCTCGAGCTTGTAATCAACATTTAAAATACCTCTATAAGTCGGTGATCACTACTCATACTAAACCTACTGACCTCTGAAACATCCCTAAATGTACCCTTCTTATCCGTCATGATCAAATCGATCTCCTTCCTAGTCACTTTGTCCAGACTTTGCCAAGTCTATCTCCTCTGGGGCTTCTTTTTATAAAACGAATTCATCAAATAAATCCTCACCAAAACCGACCATCCGAAACGAGATCTCTTAAATAGAGATATTCTGTTGATAATAATATATAATTGATATAATATATAATTGATATAGGGAAGGGGTAGACAAAGGTATTTGGATACCTTTGGAATTATCCACGTGTGTAGCATTAGTGTTGATTTACAAGTGCACAAATACCATACATCTTTATTCTTTCGAATGAGATGTTCGCCTGAAATTGGGTACAGAAAAGCATACACATGTTACATGTATTAAGGACTTCTAATAAATCTAAGCATAATTTCAATTCGAATGTTTAAAATTCTTCGCCTTTAAGTCGAAGTTTAAAATAAACACGGTCCTTTGATCATTCGGGTTTTCACAAAACATTTTCCTGCACCAACAATTTCATGGCATGCATTTTAAATGGATATACAGATCGGAAAACATTGCTTAAAATTTTTTATGGCACACAGTTTTAAAATATAAATGTAACAGTGTTTAAAAGCTTTGCCAAAATTTAAAAACCTGTCAAATGTTTCTTTATACTCAGTTTGTAATAAAATTCTAAACAAGGTACAAGATTACAATTAAAAAATGAACCAATATATTCGTAATTCTTTCCCCAAGATCTTAAGATGCCCGTAGGAATTGTAGACATACTTTGGAAGTTTGTTCCCTTTTTTTGGATTTTTAATTTTACCACTAAAAAACTAAAATAAAATCGAGTAATCAAAAATTCTGGATTACCGTTTCATTTGGTGAGCAATTGAAGAAACTGAGTTCAAATCCGGATGCTACGTGGCGCGCACAAAAAGTTTTCAGAATGAATAATAAAAAAATAAAAAATTTATTGTTTCTCTAAATATTCTCCCTTTGCGTAAATGCACTTTTTCATACGATTAAACCAATTTTGAAAACTTTCATGCCACTCCTCGTGGTAACCACATAAACATGTTTTTCAATGTTTTTCATACTCTTCGACAGCCTTTTCTGGTGATGAAAATCGTTGACCACATAATTGGTTCTTGGTCGGGACTGTATGCACGATGGCTCATAAGTGCTATGTTTTCACCTTCAAAAATTCTTTTGACTGCCTGGCGGTATGGGAACTAACATTGTTGTGGTGCAAGATGATACGGCATTTACGGTTATTTTTATGCAGCTCGTCAATAACTTTCAGAAAACAAAAAATAAAGTAAGGGCAATGTTTAAAAAAAAAACAATAGCCACGTGTCCAGTTTTATTAAATCACGAAGGAAACATCCACTTAGATGTAATTTTCACGCGCGCCACTTTGGTTGGTTTCGACTCATCTTGAAGGACAAATACAGTCGCTTTGCTGCTTTTTTTCGGAATAGTAGCAATAAATCCATGTTTCGTCACCTGTTACTGTGTCCCTGTTAAATCTGGTAAGCATGGCATTGCACCAAGTGACGCGGTCCATTTTTTGAGCCTCGATCAAATTCTTTGGGATACAACGCAAGCATAGCTTTCTCACACCCAAATGTTTATGTAGGATTAATTTTATTTGACTCATATGCCTAAGGATGCCCGAATCTCATGGTAGGTCACTTGCCTCCGTTTCGATCATACGGCGCACAACATCGATGTTTTTGTTGTTAACAGCGGTGGACGGACGACCATCGCAAGGTTTGTCACTGAGATTGACACGACCGCGCTTGAATTCCGCAAACCAGTTATTTATTTATTTTATTTATTTTATTTATTTTATTTATTTTATTTATTTTATTTATTTTATTTATTTTATTTATTTTATTTATTTTATTTATTTTATTTATTTTATTTATTTTATTTATTTTATTTATTTATTTATTTAAAGAACGCCAACATAATGTACACTATTTAAGACTTAGGAAAATAAATATACATCAACTGTTCGTTAGTGTCATTACAATTAAAGGCGCTGACAGCATGCAATATAATGGGCGAGAAAAATACAGTTAAAGATATTTTTTTGTTACAAAATCCAAAATTAAAACAAGAATTAATAAATTAAAAACAAATAATTGATAAAGGAAATAACAGTAAAAAACATTAAAGACAGTGATAAACAATGAATTTAGGTATGATTATGCAATAAATTTAGGTATGATTTATACATGGACTAATAATACTATTTAAGTTTCTACAAGTACATGGGGAGATCAGGAAATCTGTTTGACAATAAACCAGGTGAAAACAGTCAAAATGAGTAACAACAATCCGTGATTATTAAAGTAATATAGTATTTTCGGAAAATAATTTTAGCAATTCTTTCTTTAGCTTGGCGGCACTATCTGAAAACAAGTCCGATGTAGAAGTTCTCGAGATGTTATTGTAATTCCTAACCATTCTGTTTAAAGGCGCTTGCTGTCCAAGGTTGGATTTACATGAACAGTTCGAGAAAATATTAAATCTAGAGCGTCGGGGCAGCTTTGAGGGAACGGTAAAGTTTAAAAGGGACAGCAGATAAGGAGCATCAATAATGCCATTGGCAAGCTTTTGCAGGAAGAGAATTTCGAGCATTGCCCTTCTATCGCACAGAGAACTCATTCCGAAATGTTTCAGTCGATCAGAGTATGACGTAATGGTTTTCCCCAAATTACAAGAGTAAGCCAGGTGCCACAGAAACCTTTTTTGAACGCTTTCCAGTCTTTTCGCGTAAACGTTATATTTAGGATTCCAAACGACGCAACCATACTCTAAGCCACTGCGTACGAGAGCGTTGTACAATAAGATCTTGATCTTGGGGCTTTTGAAATCTTTAGTGTTTCGTAGAACGAAACCAAGGCTTCTAAAACCTTTAGAACAAATGTTGTCTATGTGGAGATTAAATCGCATTTTGCTATCGAGCAACACTCCCAAGTCTCTAACATGATCGACCCTTGACAACTCCTGGTTTTTGACGACGTATTTGCAATCCAAATTAGACATTTTTCTGGAAAAGCGCATCACAAGGCACTTAGAGATGTTTAAATCCATCTGATTTTTATCACACCAAGCCTCTAGACGGACAAGGTCTTCTTGTAATAAAGCTGAATCTGAGAAGGTATCAACGATTCTAAAAAACTTCAAATCATCAGCGAATAAATAAATGCTTGTATTAAGGAAGCAGTCACTAATGTCATTTATGAAGACATTGAATAAAAGTGGGCCAAGATGAGATCCCTGTGGGACACCAGAACACACAGTGAAGGGATCAGATCTGTAGCCATTGACTACAACCAGGGATTTACGATGCGACAGATATGAATTGCACCATCCCAATAAGGGTTCGCCGATACCAAACGCAGAGATTTTTCGTGCTAAAATTTGATGACTCACTCGATCAAAGGCCTTGCTGAAGTCAGTGTAGACTACTTCCACTGATGAGCGAGAATCAACAATCAGGCTTACGTCGTTAACAAAAGATACCAGGTTAGTTATGGTGGAACTGTTTCTGATAAAGCCATGCTGCCGGCTGTGAATGAAGTGTTTAAAATGCCAAGTCAGAAGAGGGTGAAGCAGCTGTTCAAACACTTTAGCAAATACTGGGAGGATAGAAATGGGTCTATAGTTTCGCACATTATCTTTATCGCCATTCTTAAATAATGGGACAATTAGTGCTGTCTTCCAATGGGAAGGGAAGGTGCCAGTATTGATGGATTTATTGTAGATGAGGCATAAAGGTCTAGCCAGAGCCGAGGCACATTTATTCACAAAAATTGCTGGTACTCCATCAGATCCAGCACCCTTAGATACATCGAGTGTTTTTAAAATCTTCCAAACCTGGTCGTGTCTAAGCTTGATAGAGGTTATGTAATTATTGGTAGATAATGTTTGAGCGTAAGTAGTGTATGTAGAAACAGGGGTGTCGTGTCTATACATGGATGAAAAGTAATCAGCAAACAGATTGCAAATACCTTTGCCATTCGTAGCTGTGTTATTGTTTAAAGTCATTTGAGCTGGATAGTGGCTAGTCCCTCCTTTTTTGTTTTTTATGAATGTCCAGAAAAACTTAGGGTTGGAACGTAGGTTCTGTTCAAGCCCGTTAATGTAATTTTTGTAGCATTGGGTCATTAATTGAACACAACGTTTCCTTGCTAATT